AAATGGGCGAATGTTATTTGGAATGAACCTAAATTTCGAAACGTGAAAAAAGAATCAAATAAGTTTAATGAAAAAAGAGATATTTTATAAAAATATATAACAAACTCAATTAACATTGAGAAGCTAAAATTTGAGACCTAACGTTTTAAAAACTACTTGTGCGATTTTTACAAAACTTGGCAATTTGGTGTAATTTGAATCGTAGAATCGAAATATGGATAAAGATCGGCATGTCATTTCAGAAAAAGCCCGATTTTGTGTCAAAATACCTATATTAGAACAATGTTATGTATAAATGTAATGCATATCCTAAGTCGCGCTTTCGGGATAGGAAAAAAGAAAGTTTAATTTCGTCAAGCGACCCAGTAGAATGGGAGATATAGAACTGTTCCCCTTTTTTTTCGGCAGTGTACTTATATTATGGCTTGAAACTGGAATATGCAAGTTATAATCTCTCAGAAAGAATATTTGAAAGCTCTATTTTTTTTCTGGTCCTCAACCATATTGAGACCATTTAAGTTATATATAGTACCCACCGGTTATAATGCGGCTTCATGTTCCAAAAGTCTGGAAATTACACGATGTTGCCCAATGACGGTGTCCGCCGAAAACATTGCGGAAAATACATCGCCGATGAAAACGTCACGGAGAAAACAACGCAAGGCGAAAACGCTGTTGTGGAAAACATCGTACGAGAAAATGAAGCAAGGCGAAAACATTGCATCTCTCTCTCTATATATACATACACAGTATATATGTAGGCTCTAACAAAATACGATGACTGTTTTAAGAATAATTGGTGACCTCAAATTTAAACTACTCTAAATTTGGTGTTTTCCTCCCCAAAATTCATCTATTCTCCCAAATTCAAGATTCCATATTACATAACGCTGCTTGAAAAATGGAACTAAAACCCATAATTAACCAATCACAGATAGCTGTATCTATCTAGTAAAAATAGCTACTAACTGCATAGTCTGTCTCTTTTTCGCATGCTTGCTGAAAGTGTGTCGCTCAGCCTCTGCTAGCTATTCGCCATTATTTAAAATGTAATTGAATATGTAAAATTATGGAGCCCGTTTAACACCCCTAATCTTCTACCGGTTGTGAAGATATGTACTAAGAAATTCGTTATCCAAAAATAAAGAATGTTTAACTATCAAGCTGGTCGTGCTTCTAAAATTTCATAGGACCACTTCGTTACATCGTAATTTCCATTCATCTACACCGCGGTTACAGCCGAAAACATCGCGGACGAAAACGTCGCGAAGAAAACTACGCAAAGCGAAAACTTCGGGGTACAAAACATCGTGGAAGAAAACATCGCACTTCTGAAGCATCCTGGTACAAAACACCATCATCGAAAACAAAGCAGTTAATTTCGCAGTTTAAAACATCGTCGTTGAAAATATCGCGGTAAAAAATAAAGCAGTTACAAATGATCGCAAACGTTATAAGGTATTTCTCCCACTTTCCTAGCGAGCCTTCGTGGTGTAGTGGTTCTGCACACTGAGCCGGTATTTCAGAGGTCCGTGGTTCGATACCCGGCGAAGGCGGTTGCATATTTTTCATCTCTCTGGCTTCCAAAAAAAAAAAAAATCCTAATGTCTCTACAGTGGCGCCCGAACTAAAAGGGTTGTGGATGATGATTCTCCGCACTCAGGATTTGGCGACTAGGTTCCCTAAAACCCTAGTCGCCCTCTAAAAAGGGGAGTATATAAGGTATTTCTCCCACTTTCCTAGCGAGCCTTCGTAGTGTAGTGGTTCTGCACACTGAGCCGGTATTTCAGAGGTCCGTGGTTCGATTCCCGGCGAAGGCGGTTGCATATTTTTCAACTCTCTGGCTTCCAAAAAAAAAATCCTAATGTCTCTACAACGTGTTTTCAGGCTTTAAAAATCCCCATATTCCCATAATAATCTCTGAGCACAAGAAGGAATGAGGAATGTTTTTACTCTTATAATTCCTAATATTGAATTAACTAATATATTTTTGTTGAAATGTTAAGAAGCACATTTAAGCATTAAAAAACTGAAAATGAGTAGAAAAATAAAGCTACGTAGAGCAGTTAATAGAATTTGTAACTTATATATTGCAGTTATCTAAAAAAGGTCATCAATTAACTAATCTGTTTTATAAAGTTTTATTGGTAATTTTTCATGCAAAATATAGTCTAAAAAAGATTAGAAAAAGGCAGATGAGTAAGTGCATATGGTTATCTCTATTAAATTTATTTACCTAGTTATGAAACTTAAAATGTCTATTAACTGCTATAAGTAGCATTAATTTTATACTAATTTTTAGTTTTTGATTGCTTAAGTTTCCTTCTTAATGTTTCAGCAAAAATGTATTAGTTAATTGAAAAATATAAAAGTTAAAATATTCCTTCTTCTTTCTTGCGCTCACAAATCATGATGCAAATATGCATTTAGAGCTGAAAGTCTAAAAAATGCATATCTGAAATGTTATTGTCAAGCGATATTTTCGACGACGATGTTTTGTATTACGATGTTTTAGAACTGCAATGTTTTCTTCTTGTTTTCTTTTCTACTATGATATTTTGTAATACGACGTTTTCGCCTTGCATTGTTTTCATTGCGACGTTTTGTCCGCAATTTGACGCGATGTTTTTGACCGTAGCCCATAGTGACTCACGTAAATAATCTTAAGTATTTTACAACAAACGCTAACTTATCGGCAAAGGAATTGTATAGTTAAAAGAAATAGTGGATGAAAAGGGAAAGTAAGACGAAGGCAAGGTTGTTTTAAGACTAATTAAGCATTGAACTCTGTGAAAACATTGAGGCAATGGGTTGGAGCTCAAAGTATAGATTGAAATGAAACCAAATACGTATAGAAATTCTTAGCCACCAAAATTCGCCACAAAAATTCAAACTCTCGGGATACTTACTAAACTCAATTTGAAAATCCAAGATTACAGACTAACGCTTCATAGAAGAATTTATTATTAAATACTTCAAAACACTCAAAAATGTAAAATTTCATGAAACAAGCAATTTAAAGTACTACGTACCCTAATAGGGATAAGATATATATTATTAGTTATAGCAATGCAAAGAATATTTATAAACATTATCAGTTTGATAACTTATAAACAAAGTGAATTTTAATCTATTTCAATTATGTATGTTTATTAAAAGAGTAAAATAAAAATTTAAATTATCAAAGAAGGGAAGAATTTTTTTGCTTTTAAATTTTTCAATTTTTTAATCCGTAACAGATTGATTAAAATTGAAAGATTAATTAAAGATCTTAAGCTTTGATAAATAGCAATACTTTGCTTATGCCGGATGGTGTGTGGAAGATAAAGGTCTCATGTTTTGGGCAAAGCACTACTTACCAAGAACGAGGCATTGAAATGAAACCAAATATGATATAAATAATTGAAATTAAACGTGACTAAATAAAAATTAAGAAATCTTGCACTCCTTCTAGACCTTTACCGCTTTTGTCCATCATGTTTCGAAGCACGATCTTGGTTTTAGATTTTACTGTTTCAAGATAGGATTTTGGTGTTGATGGGAAACAATAAAACTTCTTTGAGGTGTTAATAAAGCGCATAATAGAAAACGACTCATGCTGTTGTATATCGGGTGTACGGTTGCGTATACTCATAGTTGTGTACCATCTGTTGCATTATACACCTCTCTGTTCTGCTCATTAAAACCTACTTACGTAATGTTTTGACTGAAAAATTAGGATATAATGTTTTTATTCTTTGTAAATATTCGATTTAGTCTTTCCATTACAGCGCTAATATCCTTATAAAATGGGCTTAATTTTAAACGCCACTATAGGCATTATAATGATAAGTATTGTGATATTTTTATATGTACCCACATATATATTAATATACAAAACGCAACTTATATACATTAAGTTGGTTCTTAGCGCATCGAATTCCTGCGGTCTTAACTCTTTTCTGAATTACTGCTCAATCTTCCAACAAAATTAATTTAATATTGTTGAACTGTAATTGAGGACAACAGATGTAGTTATTTAATTACACAATGTGTCTACAAAGCTTAAAAGCTATTTTTTTTTTAATAAACTTGCTAAATGTTGAGTCATTTATTGCTAAGACATCTCAACCTAAAATTTCTTCAGCTCTCTTCCTAAAATATCATCTGCTCACGGTCGGAATTTTATACCCCTTTACTTATGATTTGTTTTGACCCAACAAACATTTGCAGTTACGTATTCGAAATCTGAGATGTTTCATATCATGATCCTAAATGTATCATCTCGATTTTAGAACAAACTATGTCTGAAAATGAAACTTTGTGTTTAGTGTAGAATTGAGACAAACATAGAATTTGGCTGGATAGTAACGATCACGGGGACAGAAACTTCGGTTTTAGCAGTCTCCGGTAAAAATCGAGTTGCTGAACAGTTTTGACTGGAAAGGAATAATTCACAAAGGGTTTACCCGTAAATGGTAAACAGTAAAGTCTATACTTTATATAAACGTAATGAACAAACTTCTGAGACGCCTTAAGCCTGAAAACGTTCAACAGAATAACTGATTTATGCTGCATGACGATATGCTGTTACAAAATTCCATTCTCTTTTGGCTTTCATTCTTAGTTACTGGATTTGGAACTCGCAGACTACTTTCTGTTCTATAAACTCTTATATCAAATTTAAATTTAATGACATCGATGAGATGCAGAAAGCCGCTCCAAACGTAAATACTATAATAGAACATGATTTCTACGAAGAAAAGAAACATCTGCATTAATTATTTCACAGGCTTTCAAAAATTGTATATTTGATGACTAAAAGGTGAGAATATTGCTTCTTCATCTACCAGTTTTGTAAGAACTCGTCTTGAAAATTTATAGTCGAGCTGTGCAAAATTGACTGGTATTAAATTAAAAAGCATCAATATTACTTGTACTAAAAGTTCATGGAAATGAAGTATAGATATAATAAAAATAAAGGCACTATAAGTAAAAAGAATTAGAAAATGAGCACTTACCTTTCAAGGCATACGCTGACCAGCGTCATAACTGAAGCGTACAAGGCGAAAACTTCAGTAAAACGTAGGGCTTTGCACATCGAGAGACCCAATCTCCATCCTCTGTTTTCAATAAACTGTATAATGTCCGGAATACACGCTATCATGATAATGAGATCACTAACAGCTAAGTTCATTATCAAGAGATTAGTGACAGAGTTCCTCATCCGTTGGTCTCCTAAAATTGCAAAAATTACCAGAAGATTTCCAGTAATGCCGATTGCCCCTATTATGAAAAATAAAAGCGAAAGTCCAATAATACTAGTCGCAGAAGCTGGAGGCAGACGTTCATCAACGTTCATTGTTGAATTCCATGCGTACGACTCTGTGTCTGTGATATTTAGGTCTATATTAAAGTTCTCCATGGTTGTTATTCTTCAATCTATATTCAAAGCTTATCCATCAAAGACGTTGCGAAATTAGCTGTATTTATTTCGCCTGACAGTATTTGAAAACATCAAAGCCAGTTAATTGTTTTGAGGGATTCACAACAATTTATTTAAAAACTCAGCGAAAGAAATTGGTCCGTACTGTAAAACAAAGATTTTGTACGATCTGTACTTGAATTCAGTCAAGAAAAACGTTTGAGAATAGGACCATCTCTTAAGAGTTTCTGAATAATGATCTTCCTCGAGAATGCCGAGAATCTTCGAGAATAAGCGTGAGTAAGATAAGCTGGAGTCAGATTAGAGACTTATTGATTTGCTTAGGAGTAAGAAGATTTACAGATTTCAAGTCCTTTGTGTTTTTCTAAAGAGATGACAGAGGTTTAACAGTGATATTAAAAACGAGGAATAAAAAATGTATCAAAAAACTTTATTATCCGCAGGTTAGAATCTCTAGGTTAAAATAATGATGTTATTTATACTTCATTTCAAAGTAAATGTGTTTAAAAATTATAGAATATAAATTTTTCTGAAGCCTGTTGAAAACTTTGCAGTATCTACTTGCAAAATATTTAGATATAGAAACTAATACAATATATTATTGCCATTATATTGTTTCATGCAAAGAATCGTGATAGTATGCATCGTTACAGTTAAGTTGAAGACAGTTCATTCGTAAGACATCTTTTTTAAGAAATATAGCCTACGAAAGCTTTTAATTCTATATAAAACACAAAAGTCAGTAAGTTATCATATGAATTTGGAGCTGTTTTTATCCATTATTCTTCTGTTATTTTACAAAGCATGTCTATAATTTAACAAGAATATAAGCGATAATTTCTTTTAGTCTTGAAAATAATTATTATGTTTTATGAACTTATATTCTTTCCTCTTCAGTAATTGTACTTATATTATTCCGTAAAATCAAAATAATATTAAATTTAAAATACATAAATTTATACTAAACATTCATGGACTCATATGTACATAACACGTATCTAAACCGAAAAAACATAGTTATTGAATATAATGAGAGGTGGAGATACAAAAAATCATTGTCTTGTCTTCATAAAATACACAATGAAGAATTTAAAAAAAATCTAGAAAGAAAATTTTGAATGAGTATCTTTTATCTTATATATTTATCACAAATTAATGAATGGAGATGATCTTAGAAACCAATAAATTATAATTCCATATTTTTTTAACCTAAATACCTATTAAGCTGCTATAGTTTTGTCAGCAAAGAATTCTCTTTTCCTCTGATTGAAACCCTCGCTATTCTCTCTGCCGCTCTAAATTAAAAGTAGAATGAAAACTTTCCTACCTAAGTTATGCTATGGTACATATCCTTAATCCACAGTAACATAAACAATTTTAATTTCTAAAAGTAAGGTAAACAAAGTATAGAAACTTCTAATAACTTGCACTTCAAAAACGCGTTGAAACTTTTTGGTCCTCTCACCTCGAGGTTTCAAGATTGACTGTTAGAAAAGGTAACTAAGGACGGATCAACACCGTCGCCCCCTGTCGGAGGACGAGTTTCTTTTTCCTGTTTACATTTTAACAAAACATACAATACTAATGAAATTTTATTAACTATCTATTTTATCCAGTTAATAATTAACTGCTTCATTTTTCCCTTCTTAGAAGAAATTTTCGTTTTCATTAATTTTGCATGCTTTAATTTAGGACAAGTTCATCCTCGGAAAAATAAATAAATGCAAAGGAAGGTTACACATTTTCATAAAAATTTCGATAAAAATTTAATGTTGAATTTATATTTAATGAAAAACGTCTAATGTTGTGAAACATCAGTTTCTGGCAAATATATAACTAAAAGTATCTCCTACTATCTTAACTCTTATTCGTTTTTCAAAATGTCTCATATAAACAAATCATGAGTTGAAAGATATGCTTTCGATCTTTAGGGAGAGAAATATTCTTCTTTTTCAATTCAGAAACATTTGAAACGCGTAATATTAAAATTTCTTAAAATACACTAATACTTGGAAAGGCGGAAGCCGTCAGTAATTATTTTTATATGAAAAGAAAAATCTAAACAAATACCGGATAAAATATGTACATTTTCAAATATATATATTTACGGAAAATTTCGGGTAACGACCGAAAATGCTAATGCAGACATCAATTAATTTTCAAAGTTAAAATGTAAATCTTGGCCAACCAGCGGCTGAGCGGTAAAGTCGCTGAATACTGGTAGTTCAGTCCGAGGTTCGAATCCCACGAACGGGCCGGCTGCATGGGTATTTTCTCCATGTGTAACGTGTATACGAGCCAGTTTCCCTTAGAAAGTCCTTCACGAAGGCATCCCTCCCTTTAGGCAGATAGCCCTCGAGGCTTCGCCATAATCACCTACACAAACATTCATCTTGTATCAATAATAAGTAAATTAAAAAAAGATTTGCACCTTAAGAACACCAAAAGTAAAAGTTTCATTTATTATCGAAAACGGAAGAAGGCTATAGTCAGCACTCGCCTCCAAGAGATCTTTCTAACTTCAAGAGTTCTGTTCTTATAAACATTACTACTTTGATTTTGAAGGTAACTAACAGAAATATAAATGAAAGTATATTCAAAATAATAAGATAATGGGTTAATAAACATTAATAACCCATAGTCGCTTTCACCTGAATTTAAATAGTTTGAAAATCAAGGTCTTAATGGCCTTGGAAGAATATTTTACAATTCTAAAATTTTAAAAATCTTGTGACTGTGCCAAAACTTTTGAAACGCTTTAAAAAATTCATGGAGATAAATTGATAACTGCACATTAGTATAATAGAGTTTAATTTGATTATCCATGGTTACTTCAACAGCAAGAAATGAAACTTAGGTGTAAGTTAGTTGGTAAAAGTGTATTTCCACCTACAATTCCATTTACATTTTGCTTAATATTACTGAGATATAGCGGACTATGAGTTACGTGTTGACCATCCTATGTATTTACAATGTTCTTTTTACCATACAATGGTATTTAGAAAAAGAATCCATAGCTCATTTCAAGAAAATTATGATTTGAGATCTATATTTAGAAATAATATTTACGGAAATAAAACAGGTACACAGTACATTTTCAAACTCTTATGATTAATGATTTTAAGGAATTCCAATAAACAATTGACAGCATTTCTGCATTCATTTTCTAAAATAACTTGCTTTTTCTAAACTACACTGGTTATCATAAATTAAGGAAAAATCACAAAAATCACTATTACTGAAAACGTTACATGCATAATTTAATGAAAACTTACCCACAATATACAACACATAGTAAGGTATCAAATAACATAAAAAGAAATTACCAGACAAATATGGTAGTAGAGAAATTAGCACATGTATAAAATGAACAAATCGAAGGTGTCAGTTTGCTATAGGAAAAGTACCTTCAATATGGAATATGATCGCCTCTAGAAGCAATACAGCACATACAGCGATGTGTGATGCTTTCAATTATGCGGTCTATCAGTTCCATAGGAAGCGAGAGCCATTGCTCTTGCAAAGCAGTTGCAAGCGCGACAAGGGTTTGAGGGGGCGGATTGAGAGCAGCTAAACGTCTCTCTAAAGCATCCTAAACGTGCTCGATAGGATTCAAGTCCGGGGATCGAGCTGGCCACTCCATGCACATAATTGTTTCCTGTTGAAGATAATCGTCTACGATGCGAGCCCTGTGTAGTCTTGCGTTGTCGTCCTGTAATAGGAAAGCACCACCTATTGCTCCGGCATATGGGCGCACATAAACATCAAGGATGTCATCTTTATAAATCTGAGCATTTACGGTTCCCCTTGGAAAGACATGGAGGTCTGTGCGTCCACCCAAGGAGATGCCACCCCAAACACAGACACTTCACCTTCCGTATGCATCTCTTTCCCGGATGTTTGACGGATGATAACGGGTTATAGGTTCTCTTCATATCAAATAACGCCTACTATCTCTTTCTAGACTAAACCTGGACTCATCCGTAAAGAGAACCGCCCTCCATTGATCAGGCGTCAAGTGCACATGTTGTCGTGCCCACTGAAAACGGTCCCTCCTATGGCGTGATGTGAGCGGCACACAAATGGCTGGGCGCATCGCGTACAGACCACCTTCGTGAAGCATTCTACGCAAAGTTGACGTTAACACGAACCTTCCGGTGGCTGCAGCAAGGGAAGATCTAAGAAGAGTCGGAGTAGCGGTTCTATTCCTGGGTGCACATAATGTCAAGTATTGGTCATTGGCACTCGTCGTAGCAGTTGGCCGTCCTTGGCTGAACCTCCTAGATCCGAATCTGTGATTTGAAATTGCCTCCAAAGTCTGTGAACCACAGAAGGACTCACATTTATCCATCTGGCCACCTCTGTTTGACTTTGTCCTGTCTCTAGTCTCCCAATGGCTCTCCATCGTAATTCTGCAGGCAAATGATGGCTGGAGTTTATTGTAACGAATTGGCTATCTCAGATTTCTGATGTCACTATCACAGTGAAATATGTAGGCTTGCTCTCAAACATGGACTTTATGCTCCTCGCAGATGACGTATTCCGAAAGCAGCGCCACTAATTTGCATATCGCAGTTTTACTCAGCTACTCTTACTTGGCAACATATCCAAATTTTACACGGTTTGGCTTATGTTTGAGGGATTTATCGCTATTTTTGTGATTTTTCCTTAATTTATGATAACCAGTGTATAATCTGCTTACGGACGAAATACTTTATGTAACTGGTCGTCTACTTCGGCCGAATGAACATCTGTTGTAACGAGTTCAAAAGCAGAACAATAAATAACAATAAAGGTTTGCTTGTACAGCGAGAAAAACAGCTAGAAATGTTTATTACGCAAATTCTGACTGGAGATGATAATTGGAGGTTTGCTTTTGATTTTGAGACAAAACGACAGTGATCTGTTTGGGCTGAAGAAGGGCTACCATAGCCACGCAGACTTCGGTTTCAGAAATCTTGAGTAAAGACTATGATGGAGATTTTTTTTTCACTGGAAAAAGATGTCACAAAGCACTTTTTCCCTCGTCAAAGTTTGGAGTTTACAGACGGTAAACGACAATATACCGTCGTGTATTTCCATTTTAAGTAGATTATAGCAAAGAAATAAGCAAAAATTATTACCCATCCTCATTCATTAGATTTGGCAACTCCAGACTACTTTTTCTTGTCTAAGTGAAATCTCACCTCAAAGCCAATTGTTTTAAGAGCATTGAAGAGATCCAGAAATCTATAATCAGAGACTTCAACAAGTTCCATAAAACAAGTTCTGGAAGGAATCAAGCTGCTAACAGAACGTGCCAAGAGTTGTAGAGACTTACAAGTACTTTACACTAAAGGCTTAGTAGTAAGGAATTCTTCAGCTTTCAATTTTATGTGAACTTAGTTCTAGAAGTTTGTAGACGCATTATGCAGCTAGAAATATTCCAATATTTTATATATCGAACTGCTTCTGGAGTTTTGATGATTTTCCACGCGCTTTCAACCCAATTCTAACTAAAATTTTTAAAGTAAATGTTACCTTCCTTTTTCTATCCAGCAACACATAGTTACGAATTGTGGAACAACTGATAAAATGAAAAATTTACCAAAACTCAACTTACAGCAGAAGTAGGTATAGCCTAATAATAGTTTAATTTTATTTTTATTGACAATCAATAATAAGGCAAGAGTTATTTTACAATATTTTAAATAATCGTGTTCGATAGAGCAAATTCTATATGACATCGGACAAAATTTTTTTGAATGCTATTGTTTTCACTTTGTTAAGATTACTTTTGTCCCTTTTATTTCTATTTTACAATAATATATTACTTATCAATGCAACAAAGAGAAACATTTGAAAATAAACCTATAGTTCTCAATAATATTTTGCTTCACGTATTATTAAACGTATTGTTATATGTTATTATTATTAATAATGAAAATAAAGGTACTTTTAAGGCTAGGAGACTGCAAAATTCCTCTCAAATTACTAT